AGGACCCTCAAACGTCAGAAGTTCCACAAGTTTTGCTGGAGGAAGAGCAAGTGAAATATGATGTACTAGCTCATCTAAAGAAAATTCCAGTATTGTTGAGTGTATATGATGCACTGAAAATGTCTCCAGAGCTTCAAAAGTCTTTAATATATGCCCTGTCCAAGCCAGAGGATTTCCACAAAGAAATCGAGGGTAGAAATCAAGAGAAGGCAACTACATGCATGGCCATGGTAACCTTTGGTGACAAAGACATGTGTGTTGAAATGACAGACCACAATCGGCCTTTGTTTATCACTAGGCTTATCCATGATGTAAAAATTTCTCGAATTCTGGTTGATGGGGGATCTGCGGTAAACCTCCTACCTCGGAGGGCCTTAAACTTATTAGGGGTTCGAATTTCACAACTTCGCCCAAGTCGTTTGGTCATTCAAGGATTTAATCAAAATGAACAACGTCCAATGGGGAAGATTGAATTGCGAACCAAGTTTGGGGATATTGAAGAAAGCACTGAGTTCTTGGTCATTGATGTAGACACCTCTTACAATGCTTTGCTTGGGAGACCATGGATGCATAATCATCATGCAGTGCCATCAACTTATCACCAATGTATTAAGTACCCGTTGCCTTCACCCAAAAAAGAGGGGACAATTGTGGCTGACAATGATCCATTTGGAGAAGTAAAGGCCTATTATGCTGATGCTCGCTTCTATACAAAGACTTCACAAAAAAAGGGAAAAGATGTGAAGAAGTCTGAAGATACTCCGAATGTCAAAGACACTCTAGAGTCTATTCCAGTTTCAACAAAAAGAACTTTTCGATATGTGCCAAAGTCCGAAAGGAAACTGGAGGCAAAGGCTCTAGCCCTAATAAATCCAATTTTGGATCTCAAGGGTGAGTTCACGTTGCCATTAAGGAAGACAGAATGCACCTATGTGGAGAAAAATAATAAGATTGTGGTCCCTTCTAAAGGAAAAGGGTCGAAACCCATCATATTCCATTCACTTGGAAATGTTGAACAGAAAGTGAAAGTTGAACAAGTGCCAGAAGAAAACATCTCGAGTTTTGAGAAGCCTACCTTCAGTGCTGAAATCACACAGATGTTGGTAAAAGTTGGTTTAGATCCTGAAAAAATACCAAGAACAATGACGCCCTTTGACTTTGCATTAACACCTTCACAGAGGCAGGCTATCCAGCAAGGCGGTATTATCACCGCCAAGACAGAAGGGTTAGGCAATCAAGGGGATGAGGAAAAATTTCCAGTAAACATGGCTATCACTCAAGATGTGTTGGAAGATGTTGACCAAGATGAAGCTCAACCTGCACCAACAAAATTTGAAGCAGGAGGCCAAGCCACCGTGGATGACCTTCATGAAATAAATCTTCATGAAATCTGGGTGATGAAGGAGAAAACAAACCAATCTTCATTAGTGCAAATTTAAAGGAAGAAGAAGCTCGGCAATATATTTCCTTTTTAGGGGAGTATCGTGACATATTTGCATGGAACTACAGTGAGATGCCTGGTCTTAATCCAGAGATTGTAGTCCATAAGCTTGCAATTCACCCTGAGAAACGGCCAGTTAAACTGCCTCAGAGGCGCACTTGACCAGAGCTTACAGCCCAAATTGAAGCCGAAGTCGACAAGCTTATCAATGTAGGATTCATCAGGGAAGTCAACTATCCAACCTAGCTAGCAAACATAGTGCTAATTAAGAAAAAGAATGGTCAAATCAGGGTTTGCATTGATTTTCGTGATCTCAATGAGGCTTGTCCTAACGATGACTTTCCTTTGCCCATCACTGAACTTCTTGTATATGCAACTGCTGGGTATGAAACATTGTCTTTTATGAATGGATACTTAGGATATAATCAAATCCGAATGGCACCTAAAGATGAAGAAATGACTGCATTCAGGACTCCGAGAGGAGTCTTTTACTATAAGGTAATGCCTTTTGGCCTGAAAAATGCTGGGGCCACATATCAAAGGGCGATAACTGTAATTTTTGGTAATATGCTCCATGACACCATCGAATGCTATGTTGATGATCTTGTCGTCAAGACAAAGGAAAAGGAAAACCATGTGGAAGATTTAAGAAAAATCTTCGAACGTTTGAGGAGGTACAAACTCAAGATGAACCCACTAAAATGTGCATTTGGAGTTTCATCAGGAAAATTTCTTGGGTTTGTGGTTCGAAACAAAGGGATTGAAATTGACCCTACCAAGATTAAAGCCATTGCCGAAATGTCTCCTCCACGAAATTTAAGGAAATTGAAGGGGCTACAAGGGAGATTAGCCTATATCAGAAGATTTATTTCTAACTTGGCTAGTCGATGTTTGCCATTCTCAAGATTGATGAAAAAGGGTGTTCCATTTGAATGGGATCAGCAGTGCCAAAATGCTTTTAATAGTATTAAGGAGTATCTTTTGAAGCCTCCAATACTCATGAGCCCAATAAAAGGGAAACCATTTTTGTTGTACATAACAGCCTTGGATGGTTCGTTAGGGGCACTGTTGGCACAACATAATGAGCATGGGAAAGAAAATGCCTTGTATTACTTGAGTTGTACTTTGGTTGGGGCAAAAGTCAATTACTCCCCTATCGAAAAGACATGTCTTGCTTTGGTGTTCGCCTTGCAAAAACTAAAGCACTATGTCTTGGAACACGAAGTCAAGTTGATATCAAGAGCAGACCCCTTGAAATATATACTTTCACGGCCCATACTTTCAGGGAAAATTGCAAAGTGGGCTGTAATTCTCCAACAATTCGCAATTGAATATGTTCCCCAAAGAGCTGTAAAGGGGCAGGCTCTAGCAGATTTTTTGGCAGCACATCCTATACCTGATGACTCACCTCTAGTAACTGATTTACCAGATGAAGAGGTTATGCAAGTAGAAATTCAGAAAGGATAGGAGATGTATTTTGATGGAGCTTCAAGGAGTCCAGATGGCAAGAAGCAAGAAAATCCTAAAAACAATAAAGCTGGAATTGGAATTGTGTTTGTGAATCCAGACAATGCTATAATCACTCATTCTTTCGCCTTAAATGAAAGATGCTCCAATAATGAGGCAGAATATGAAGTTGTAATTGCTGGATTAGAATTGGCATTACAAATTCCTATTGAAGAACTCTCAATTTATGGAGATTCGGAACTGGTGGTAAAGCAACTCCGTGGAGAATACATTGTTAAGAAAACAAATCTCATCCCGTATCATGAAAGGGTTGATCAATTGCTTTCGCAATTCAGGAAAACACATATTTTCCACGTGAAGAGAAGAACAAATGCTCGAGCTAATTCACTTGCAAGTTTGGCTGCATCACTCACCCTACCAGATAGCAAAACAATTACTATCACGGTAGGTGAAAGAAGGGTTTACAACCTTTGAAAGAAGTTTCCGACTTGGTTCCAATCTTGGTCGTCACCATGAAAGGAAAAAACGAGGAGGATTGGCGGGAACCATTCATTGCTTACCTCCAACATGGTAGGCTACCTGAAGATAAAGTAAAAAGAATTAAAGTGAGACGTAGGGCTACCAAATTCGTCTTGTGAAAAGATGGAACGTTATACAAAAGGTCTTTGGATGGAATGTACATGCGGTGTATAGCCAAGGAGCGTATTCAAGAGGTAATGGCAAAAATACATGCAGGCGTATGTGGGGCACACCAAAGTGGTCCTAAATTACATATGCAGCTAAAACGGTTGGGATACTATTGGCCGACTATGATTGTAGATTGCATAGATTATGCTCGAAGATGCCAAGTCTGCCAATTCCATGGGAACTTTCTCCACCAACCCTCAGAGCCTTTACATTTAACAACTTGTTCTTGGCCATTTGCAGCATGGGGTATGGACATTATTGGTCCTTTTGTACCTCCATCTTCAGCGGGATATCGATACATCCTAGCTGCAACTGACTATTTCTCAAAATGGGCAGAGGCCGTGGCTTTAAAGGATATAAAAAGCACAGTTGTCTCTGAGTTCATCCGAACCCATATCATATACAGGTTCGGGATTCCAGAAAGTATCATCATGGATAATGGACAGCCATTCAGGAGTGATGCTTTGAACAAGTTATTTGCCAAGTACAAAATCAAAAACAACCATTCATCAAGATATCATGCACCTGCCAATGGTTTGGCAGAAGCTTTCAACAAGACATTGTGCAAAATTCTTAAGAAGATGGTGGATAAGAACAAAAAAGCTTGGCACGAAAAGTTACAAGAAGCTTTATGGGCTTATCGGACTTCGCACAGAACTCCTACTTAAGCAACCCCTTATTCGTTAATTTTTGGAGGAGAAGCAGTGTTACCACTTGAGATTCAAATACCATCATTACGAGTGGCAATACAAGAGTCCTTAACAGAAGATGAAAGTGCAAGAGTGAGGTTGGCTGAGCTGGAGACCCTGGATGAAAGAAGGTTGTATGCTCAACAGAACTTGGAAATCTCCCAACAAAGGATGGCAAATGCATTCAATAAAAGAGTGAGGCTTCGTTTCTTTAAAAAGGGAGACTTGGTACTAATGGTTAGAACACCCATAGTAGTCTCACGAAGAACCAAAGGAAAGCTTGAGCCCAAATGGGAATGACCTTATGTGATTGAGAAGGTTTATTCTAATGGGGCCTATTTGTTGATAACGATGGATGGTGACAGAATCATTCCCCCAACCAATGTAAGGTTCTTGAAGAGATATTACCCTTAAGAAAGTCTGTTAAGTTGAAAACCCGAAAGGGCGGCCTAAAAAAAAAAAAAAATCCACCAACGGTATTGTATGTGGTTAAACTGCTAAAATATCCCACCGAAATCTAAGGTGGTAAAACATTAGATACTCTTGGCCCGCAAGAGTATAAACTGTGCACGGCCAAACAAAAGTCAAGGACCACCAACGGTATTGTATGTGGTTAAACTGCTAAAATACCTCACCGAAATCTAAGGTAATAAAACATTAGATACTCCTGGCCCGCAAGAGTATAAACTGTGTATAGCCAAAATAAGACAAATCAATGTATTGTATTGAGAAATTTCATATAACAAATAAATCTATTGTGTACGGCCAAAATAAGACAAATCAATGTATTGTATTGAGAAATTTCATATAACAAATAAATCTATGTCACGACCCAAACCCGACCCTATGGGTTTAGCACCGTAACCGGCTAGTAATCCGAGATTACTGAAGGCCTGAGGCCTACTGAACAGTAATACAGTAAAACAGAGTACAGGGCCTGGCGGAAGCCAAAACAGTAAATAAACAATGCCCAATGAGCCGTGATAGTCTGTATGCAAAAAGACTTTTCATACATATATACATAATCAGTACAGAATAGTATGCACAAAATATACAATCATTCAAACTAGGGACTCAACCCTTTACATAACAGTGCAGTAAACATTCAGTCTATACAAAACAGTAAGACAGTACAGAAGGGGGAATTGTAAAACACCCCTAAGCCTTAACAGGATAGGCTCGGAACCTCGCAGTGAGGCACATAGGCTGGCTTGACAAAACTGGAGTAACCCTGACGCTCCTAGCCGCGGTCTGGTGCCTGAACACCTACATATATATAAGAGCAGTGAGCTAAAGCCCAGTGAATAACATAATGCGTAAAGAGGTTAAGAATGAATGTCCTTACAGTAATGAAAACAGTTCATTAAATCAGTATTTCAGTCGTTCAGTCAGTACAGTCATATGTGGTACATCCATTAGCATAACAGTACAGTAAACAGTAGGTCTTAAAAGACCGAACAATAATGATGGCCATCAGTCAGTAAACAGTAGTGGTTCCAACAAGGGAACCGACAGAGATCTCCGTAACAGTGACAATAAACAGTAGGTGCTAAGGATGCCACAATACAGTTCAGAATATAGGACATACATTCATTCAATTAACAGTAGCCAGTTCAGAAAGCAGTACAGTTCAGTTGTTCAGAAAACAATCATTTGTGAACATATCTTTACACAATCGTTACTCACAGAGTTTGGGCTACGGTATGCTAGAGCGTGCCTCCCTAGTCGCCAATGCTACACAGTTAACAGATTGAACACACTAAGCTACACAGCTGGGAAAGATAATAACTTAACCCCTAATGCCTCGGTGTGTTCTACATCTATATCCTCAGTAAGATGCCTTAAACTAGGCCTAAAAATGCCTAGAATGGGATGAGGATGCAAAGATATACTCAAAAAGCAGTTTCAAAAGTTTCAGAAAAACAGAGTCCCGCTCGAACGCTCGAGCGTCAACTTTCCCGCTCGAGCGTATTGTAAAAGTACTAGATGGGTGAAATCTCTGCTCGACGGACGCTCGACGCCCGCTCGATCGTGAGACACATGCCTCCGCTCGAGCTCCCAATACTCCGCTCGAGCGGATTGTAAAACAGTGCAGAGAAAATACTGGATGCTCGGATTCAACGCTCGAGCGTCACTAGTCCCCGCTCGAGCGGAAGTGCAAAATCTGGAAAACCCAGATTGCACCTCCAAGCCAAAAACCAAGTTTTAACAACTCAAAACTCGACCTCTTGGGCTGAATTTCCAGAAAACATTTGTAAACACATAGTTAAACATGATTCAAAACTCAACTTTGAGAAATCAAAGCCCAAGGGTGTTTAATTCAAACCCAATTTCAAACCATTTTCAAGAATAGGATGAACATGCAAACTGTAGACACCCCATTTTTGACCGTCCTCAAGACTTGGACGTCACCGTTTGAACACTCGGTAATCTTCCATGTTTGTGTTCGTTTGGAGTTCCCGGAGGTCTCGGCTCGCGCGCCTTGCCTCAGGATCCCCGAACTCGACTGTTTAGTGTCTGGTTTTGCACCGAACACTT